GTTTTCGAGCAAATAAACATTGAATTGTAATAAACAGTAGTTGTAATTTGTCAAAAAAAACCAGAAGGGTAATCACCTACCTAAAAACGCTACACATTGTTTATTCAAATCGGTCATAAAACCGAGTCGACCTTCTTTTGACCATTTTTTTCAGCCCAGTCATACTTAACTCGCGCACGACGCACTTAGATTGTGTGTGACACAAGCACACACACACACGGCATGTGTGAGTTCTTCTCTCGCTCACAATTACAATCAGAAGTATTGTCTACCGTCTTTGTTTTATGTAAAACGGTGTGATTATTTGCTTGGATTTGACATCGGAATGTGTCATATAAATTGTTCATTGTGCGGAGAGACGGGTGTGGTCGCTAGTGCGCGCTTTTCAGCTCTCGCTGGCAGATTTACGTGCAGATACGTTCAATTTTTTTCTTCTGTTATTCAGCTAGTTCACCTGGCTGTACACTGTACAGTACTGTGCTTTTGATTTTTCAAAGATGGAGCACATCGTATTGCATACATATGTGTATTTATGACACATGTTAAGCGACAAAGTGTGACTTGGGCTCGAAAAAGGCGAAAAAAGTACAATGTCTTTGATTATGTAGGTGATTTGTTTTCAGTCACCTCACGTCATATGCGTCGGCACAACGAACGGATGAAAACAATTTGAACAACGATACAGGCGTATAAAGAGCAATGCAGCGTGTGTGTTTCATGCAAAAAATGAAGAGAGAGGGAGAGAAATAGAAAAACGGTACTAGTGTGTATCAAATATGATGATTGAAACAATTATAAGCACATGTGCAGTTAGCGTCTATTCAAAGGTTAAGTGCATTGTCCCGCAGCCGTATGTATACACAAAAAGGTTGAGTTTTATGGCGTAAATTGATTGTGTATGACATGAAAGAAGCCCCGATATGGAAATGTTTCTTGGAAAATTTCACGTTGTTTGAAATTTTATAAAGATTCTATGTCGTCAATTGTTTCTCATTGATTGAACTCTATATAGGAGAACAGAAAAAAAAAACGAAATAAATCAAAAACAGAGAGAACTTTATTTGAGTGTGTTGCTATTCGGTTTGTTTAACCGAATCGATTCGATGGTTGCCATATAGCAAATAAAGCGTTGATCATTTTCATGATATTCTGCTCACATAATCAAAAAACTAATAATTGCTCACGTTTATTCCGACAAATGTGAAAACCAATCATTGACCTCAATGACAATATTTGAGCTTGGGCCTTTATTCCATTGAGCAATAGTGCAAACAAACAGAGACAGTTTTTTTTTGTGTCTCTCATTCGAAAATAAACAGAGATCGATTTATTTTTCCGAGAAATTCATTGAATATAGAAGGTGATCTGATTTCAAAGCCATGACACCGTCACAATAGAGTTTAACATTTTTTTTCATGGATTTAAATTGTTTTATATAAACAATTTTTTTCGTTGCTGTTGTTCAATTCGAGATTTAAGTCGATGAACCCATTTTTATTTAGATGCTACACATTATGAAACGAATCGGGCACAAATAGAATCGAGCAAATCAGTTAATATAATGGTGTTGGTTCAAATAAAGGGAGCCACAAATAATAATAGAAAAAATAGTCATTCGAGAGCAGAAGCTCTCAGATTTCAAGATCTGTGGGCTTAATGAAAAATTGCTCTTTCTCCTTTTCCATCTCTCTCTCTCTCTCTCTCTCTCTCTCTCTCTCTCAATGGCTCTCCTTCGTTCTCCTTCGCTCTCTGTTACTGCGACTCAGTGACCAATGTTGAATAAATGTTTATACTAAATGTCCAATATTTTTCATCCATACCGTGTTTCGTTGTTTGATAAATTAAATCATTCAGGTAGCTGTTCTATGTATTTAAAGAGTGAAACAAAAATAAAACGAACGAACAAAACATTCTTCACCTTCTTATCAATCAGTCTTTGGTTTCTACCACTTTTCAACTCTATAAAATACGGATCTCCGTCTCGATTCATTTGAATTCTAATCCAAATGCATTTGTTTATCAAGCTCTCTCTCTCTCTCTCTCTCTCTCTCTCGCTCTCTCTGGTGAGATAAAATAACTGTACATAACACGTTATTGTTTTTTTGTTCGTTTTGTTCAATGGAAATGAAAAAATTGAAATGTGACACCGCCAAAAGAATGGTGGTGTGTGTGTTTGTGTTGAAAATTAAATCATAACGTCAGCTTTGGGTGAGATTAGAGCGCAAATGTTTCGAATTTCGTTGACACATGTAGTCTATATCGTTATTTGTGTTTCGCACAAATGGATCTTCATCTTTTGGCTTTTAGTAAAATGAATACATAAAAACGGGATTGAATGCGTCAATAATAATAAATCGCCATCAAAGAAACCACCTATCCACCTCACTCACATTCGATCACAAAATGGATTCGAAATGTCCGAGCTTGGGTAATGACTTGACTCGCTTGAAACAAATCACACGGGCCGCGACGGTATTTATGTGATGGAATCATAACTGTTTCACTTAACTGATACGCGTTTTCTTCATTTGGATTGTATTGTGGTTGTATTCACAGAGAGTTTATTCCATTGGCAACATTGAGATTCTTTTGTGGTAGCACAAAAGCATTTATGCAACTCGTTCAAGCACACAAAGAAAAATCGATTTTCTGTAGAATCAAGAAGTCCATCGCTAATGTACGATGGCATCAACAACAACAACGACGACGATGATGAAGACGAAAAAAAAACGGCATAGACAAGCAAAAATAGAACAAGTAAATCAAACAACTATTTAGTGAGAAAAGAGTTGAGAGCGTGTTCGGTCGCTCAAATACACACATCGGTCGCTTCGATGAACAAGTGTTTTTATTACAATTCTTTGTGTCTCTTCTCTGAACGGTGTATTTTCTTCTTGTTGTTTTTTTTTATGTTGATGACTGCATTCCAGTGCCTCGTATGACAGCATGACTCTCATAGTCTGCTGTAATGTGCTGCTGCTGGCTGGCTGCCTGGCACTGCTTAAATGAAAGATTCACTGCATTCACAATTTACGAAAGGAATACTAATTTGCAACCACTAATCTTCGGTTTCGGGACATCGGCTCGGTTGCAACTTGCCCTTGATGATGCATGCCATCCCAACTGAACCCGGCAGATACACATATTTTTTCATTGTATGATCGTTTTGTTGTTGCTGTTGTTGTTGTGTGAGCAATTTTCGTCAAGTCCGTGCTCCTTTGATGCAATTTACAACTCTTTTGCAACCGGTTTTTTCTGCAGAATACACAGATAATTCGGATATAATGAACTAATAACGAAACAAGTTTAGTTCAATATAAACGCGCGCGCATGTTATACATTGATTAGATATGTATGTGAACGAGCGGTCAGAGCATTTGTATAAAATACGAATGTGCCCGGTGAGTTGAAACTCATCAACAAAACCTTTTTTGACCTTTGATCGTTCGATTTTGAATGGTATCGTCATCTCTCACCTCTTAACAAATCAAAGTCGTTAGACTAAAAAAACGAGCAATAAAAAACCAAACCGTCCGAAATCATCGATCCGGTAACAATACTTTTCCGAAAATGGAATGTTTTAATGGATCCACTCACAGAATATTTAATTGCCAAACCAAAAAGAAGAATGAGACAAAAAACGAATTAAAAAGGATCAAATTAAGCTAAAAGTTTTTTTTGTTTTGGTTTTCTGTTACAATGACACCAACTTGATACTATTCACTGTTGGAGTGTTGCAGTTTTGCATATTTCTACATTGTTTGCAAAGTTGAGACAAAAATTATATATCCATGATATGTGTTGCGTGTGTCATTTTGCTTATTTTAAGAATAATAAGGTAACAGATGGATTGAGCGAGTGAGATTGATGAATGTTTGCGGTGAGTTCGACGTCGATTGTGTATAGTAAACGCGCGTCGTCGTCGTTCATACGTGGAATATGTGCTGTTTTGTGTACTCGATAATTCCGCACAGCAAGACACTCGCCTCGACGGAGGACAGACACCGATCAGAGAGAGAGAGAGAGGAAGCAGAATAAGAATGAAGAAAAAGACACATTGGAATATGCATGGCGAATGAAGTGAAAAGACACATGTGTACGTACAAATTCAAAGGCGTATAAAATATTGTGGCATTTAATGGCGACAATATTTATGGCTAGAATGTTGATGGTTCGATTGTCAATGCGTTTAGTTGCTCGAACAGCGGAAGAGTTCATCAGGCTCTTCTTTGGGCCCGTTTTGTTGTTTCTCTTCGGATCTCTCATTCCATCTCTCTGTGTTTTTCTCCCATTTTCCATCTCTGTCTGTGTCTTTTGTGTCAGTCGCTCTTCTTTTACACTTTTCTCTTTTTCTTAATTTCGTTCGTCGCGCATCGTTCCGACGTATTTGCTCCATACATCGTACGGGTACACATTCCGCGCTTTGTGAGCGAGCGAGCGAGCGAAATAGACTGAGTGCCGAGAAATAATGCTTGAATATGAGGTTTTCCCACGCACATTCAGTTGATCAATAAAAGTTGACTTTGAAATAAATGACAAGTAGCAATATCTACCGGTTACATGACTAGAGACTTTAGTTCTTCATTTCTCTTCTCTCATTCTTTACATTCACATCGATTATGTCCAGAGCACACCAACCGACCGAACGCTCGATTGACTGTGGACAAAACCATTTTCATTCTATTCATTTTCTTCGAACAAAATGTTCATAATGAGGCAACGACACAGTGTCATTAAATGCATGTAAATTAACTACAATTATTTTTCACTTGTAAATAACACTATCGTACGAAAAAAAAATGGGCACCGATAATGATTGTCACGCTGCATATATCAACGAGTGTTTGATGAGTTCCGATGGCGTCCTCCTGCAAATACGCTTTTCTGCCTTAAAACGCAACAATTTAACTTTAGCTCATTTTCTTGATTGATTTTATGTTTTCTCTACGTTTTGTTTTCAATACAATGTCTTCTTTTCTCATTAAATTCTCAACCAACAGGTGATACTCCGTCCAATGATGACGCATCAACATTCGTAAGAAGTTTAACATCATCAACATCGTTACACCACCATTCGTCCAGTCTATCAAAGCAATTGAAAACGGCATCGCTAGCGGCCTCATTGAACGCCATTGCTGCCGCTACAGCATCAGCAGCCAATTCACAAGCACAAAAATTCAAGGGCAAACGGAAATCAATCATAAGCGCCGCCACAAATGCCAGCAACACGACGATTTCAAATGCAGTGGATAAAATGTTAAGTGATCGCTTAAATCTAGCCGATAACAAAAAATTTTGTGATATGAGCAATCGCACGTCGAGCCCGATTCCTAGCAATAATTTGACTGAAAATAGCAACGGTAATTGTTTCATCTTTTGCTATGTACTTGAAAAAGAATATTGATTGTTGTGTCTTTTGCAAATTGAAAAAAAAATAAAAAAAATCTCTTGGGCTTGATATCAACAGGTAATAGCGAGGAGGCAACCGATTTGTCTGACACTAAGACAACGATATCAGTAGCAAGTGCAATGGATTATTTTAAAACGACGCCAAACAACGGTGACACATACAGTAGTACAACAATCAATAACAATAAGTTGATCACCAACAATAACGCAAACATTAAGAACGAACGATTTAGCCCTCCACAACAAATGCAATCGCAAAGTGCGGCACAATCAAATGGAGGCAACACCGATGCACATTCATCGAATTCACGGTAAGACGAACATTTTTCTTTGCTACACATTGACGAATACGATTTGGTAACTAACATTTCGGATGGAGTGTGCGTCGGATAGATTCCAATGGAATCATTCCATTTGATTTTTGTACCTTTGATATTAAAATCAATGGTTAATCTGATATATATATTCATAGCAATTTTTCTTATCTAATTTTCCTTTTGATCTAAAAAAAACTCTCCTACCCACTGTTTACGGTTCAACAATGAATCACCTGTCAAACAAGAACGACGAAATTTGTTCATCCACCATAAATAATATTCATGACATTTCCGTGCAATTTCTTGTACACACGGAAAAAAAAGTTGCCGTCATTTTTATTCATAGCCCAATGAAAAATGCTGAAATAATTCTGTTATTAGTCCTTGAGCCACTTGAAATGCACATGATAAGAATTTTATGAGCGTATCGCGCACAGGTCACACAAATTCACTTGTGTTTGACTTTTTGTGTGACAGTTGTGTCAAAACGACGACAAGTAACTAGTGGCACTTGTACACGGCCGAACAAACTAATACACAATCACACACATTTTCGTTTAGTTTTAGTATTTGTACACGAAACACGATTCAATAATGAGTCAATCTGTGATTCAGGTCAAGAAGTGTAACACCTTCTTCACATCCCGGTACACCGCCACAACATCAGCCCAACGATTTGCTCACCGGATCCAATTTTTCAACAAGTCTGGCAAACACTTTAACATCTGGTCAAATAAAACCTGAATTTGCAACGGCTCGAACGTATTCAGATCAACTACGGAACTTTGCAGCTAAATACAACGCACTAAATGAGTATGTATCCGAGACAACGGCATAGAAAGATAGGGAGACGAAAGAAAAAAAACGTTTTTGTTTATATTGATGTTGTTAGAATTGCTTTTTTTTCTCTAATTCAATGAATGCATTGCTCGGTTCATTTCAGATCAAACAATGTTCGTAATTCATTATTTGACTCCAGATTCAATATGAGCTCAATGAAAACGGGAATAACCAAAGACATGACATCACCAGAAAATTTGAAACGAACAACCACATCAGTCCCATCGCCCGTAAGTGTTGTTTTCTTTTTCTTTGCATTGTTTTGTTGTTATTTAATGTGACATTTCAATTCGAATGGAAAAATGAATTCATTTTGAAGTGAAAAAAAACGTTGTATTCCGATTCTGCTGCAGTGACAACATTTCAATCATCACTGCAAGGTGTATTTACATATTTCCGGCTCAATATTTATTTCCAGATATCGAACACCGCAAACAATTTGATATCAACATTATTTTCAACATTTCCGCCAACTGCATTTCCGTCATTGATCGATATGAGAGGTTCACAGCTTCTGCTATCTTTGGTAAGCATGTCTTACCGTTTATCTGCATTTATTATGTGTTGAGATCGTTTGCAACTCATTTTAACAAATTCCTCGCTCTTTTCTCTTCGGTTAACCCACAGGCTCAGGCGGCAAAAGACAGTGAAATCAAGCAGCACATCTTGAATGGGCCGCAAAAGCGACTGATAAAACGGCAAACACCACCAATACATACGAATCCGTTGCGTTCACAGCAATCACCTCCATCAAATGCGAACACATCTCCACAAAGTCGTATTCCATTGCCAGCAAACATACCAAACACATTTCAACTGTTGTCACTGCAGCAGAAAGCGAATTCATTGCTGAACAATCAACCATTCATGGCATCGGCATCAGCCGTCGCCGCAGCAGCGGCACCACCACCACCATCAATCAGTCAAACGTTGGCAACGGCCACAAATAGCAATCGAACAAGAGCATTGTCACCGTTAGATTTGAGCAGTGCATCCACACCGATCGGTGGAAAGCGTATGAAATTGGAATCGTCAAGCCCAAGCCGAAGGACATCGTCACCATCACCAACGACCGTTCAACATCCGAAAACGAGTTGTGGCAGCAGCAGTGAACATTCAGCATCGGATACGTCACCGTTGCAACATCTACGCCGATGTCATGCACAAACGGACGAAATCAATTCGTGGTCCGTGGCAGATGTGTGTTCGTTTGTGGGCAGCATTGACATTTGCGCCGAATACGTAGAGGTAGGTTTTTGTGTCAAAATAACTTTTTTTCTCTTTGGCTGGACGATTTTTATCGTACGCGCGAGTTGTGATTTGAGCCAAGCCATATCGACTTGAGCTATAAAAAAAATGTCGTATTTAATAATATGGCAAATGACGTATATAAAAGACGGTTTTTATACGCATTTTCACACTTTTACAATCATTTGCATGATTTTATATTCGGATGCTATGCGATTAAAAATAGTCATAATTTCTGGTCAGCTCATTATGCAGCTGTCATGGAACGTGTACATGCATACAGATCGAAAAAACCCTCTCGAAAAGTTTTTTCCATAAAATTGAGACATAAACATTTTATTTCTTCATATGAACATAATATTAATTTATAGCCGAAAATTTTTCTGAATAAACGAGATAAAAAAAAAATTAATACTAGCATTACAACGCATCGCGATGCAACGAATGCTCAAAACACATTCAATTAGTCGACGCAAGTATTTCATAAAATGGTTTTTATGTTCGTTTTTATTGAGCATGAGCACCGCTTTTTTATGTGATTTCTATGAGCAACAGATAAACAAATCATTATTTCGCTGATTATTTATATTCGTTTGGCTCAATTAATGATCATTTCCTACCTACGAGCTTAGATTTTTTTTTTGCTTTTGGAGAAGATAGATTTTTCAATTGGGAGAGTATTCAAGCGGGAAAAGTAGACATTGTGGTAATGGCATTTTGTATTGTTTTGTTACTATTCCGTCCAAAAAACCTGCTATGTTTTCATTCGATCAGACATTTTTATTAACTGCTGCCTTTCTGATGGACAATTTTGTGATACAGCAGCTGGCCACCGATTAAAACTTCGGCCGTATTTTAACGAAAATTGAAATGTCGATCATGTTCAAAGGTATGCATTAAGATCGGGCCTTTTTTGAAATCCAACACGTTCTCATTGTCAAAGCAAAAAACACGGTGCGTGTTGAGTAAATTGCAAGCGCAGGCAGTTCTCGTGTATGTGTGCACAAAGCCGAACGACCGAACAAACGATCGAGCGAGCGAGCGAGCGAGTGGATCGACGCAATTATTGTAAATTGTATGTTAGACTGAAGTGGCATCGAATCGAACCATCTGAAGGCTGCTGGCGATCCGGTGTTGTTGTAACAACTTTTGACTTTTAAATTTGAAATATGTCTACAAACGATATAAATCGATCTGATTCCAATGCGCAAGCAGAAACTTTTTATTCTTTATTTCTACCACACTTTAGATTGACTGCATATCGCGAAAAATTACGCTCCCGAGATCGAAATGCCAAAGATCATGTTTCGATCCATTCCACCGGTGTGTGTGTGTGTGTGTGTGTGTCCATTTCGAATGAAATTTGCGCAGGCAAACACAGGCCTACACCAATTAACAGATAGACCAATTTAACGTGTATGTTTATGTGGTGGCCCAATTTTGCTATCTCGAAAACTAAATCATGATACACGTGCAAAAAGGAACAAAGAGCGAGCGAGCGAGCGACCGAGTGCGCGCAATAAAAAGAGGATTCAACTCTCCATACTAATAATTTAGCTAATTGCATTTGACTTGCGGCCAGAAAAAAGTTCACTTTGTTTAAAAAAAAAACATTCGATCTGAAAATCTCTTAAAAATAAAACAACCAATGACTTGATAGGCATTTGCAAAAGGTCAGCTCCGAGAGAAAACATGGCTATTATTATGTGCACAATATACACACACAAATACCAATGCAGCGCAGCCTTTTGCCTTGGTGTGGTCAACAGAAAAACCAACAGATCAGGCATTCGACCGAACAGTGTTCATGTTTACAAGTTACATACATATAAAAATGCCTTTTACCTTGGCCGGTTACGATCCTTGTCGCCTGTTTTCAAATGACTTCGGCTCATTTGGTTGCTCACAACGCATGCTTCCAATGAACCCAAACGACGACGACGACGACGACGACGTCGACGATGGTGATGAAGAAGGCAAGAAAAAAACCACCTGAAGAATTTGCAAAATAGCCGGGAGGCACACAATTTTCTCTGAATAAGATCCTGCATCTTTGTAATAATTGCTATTTATTGTTGGCGCAGGCAGGCACAGAGAACGAACGAAGGAAAAACGGCAAACTTTATTTTGTCATGCAAATCACTTATGTTATGATTGCATTCGCACATACTTTCAGTTCATGCCCGTACACATATTTAATGGAATAGATCGAAATGGTTTGGGATTTTTGTGAAAAATCGCTATTTCGAGCAATAATTCCATGAAACATAACCTGTCGTCGCAATTTATTGAAGATATTTTTTTTTTCATTGTCAAATGCAATTTGGCACCGGCATTACGCTCACAAAATCGGCCAGGCGCTTGAAAAATATACGCCTAAAGTGTGCGGATGATGCGGTGTGGTTCATATTTAATGCAATAATTATATGTATGGAGAGTAGTGCAATCTAAAATTTAGAAGAAAAATGTATAAGCGCAGTCAAGTTCCAATAATTCATAGTTTTAATGTTCGTCTTGCCGAAATAATAAAAGGCATTGATAAGAAAGAAAAAATGAAATGAAAAAAACATCACTGCACAGAAGAAGTGCATTAAGCGAATGAAAGAAAAAGGGGAATTAAATGGCACGCGCCTCCGGCACGATCTACCTCTTCTGCTTTTATTATTATAACCTCATCCGCGGAACAAGTAACAACAAAACGAACGAAAGATAAAAAAGCAGCGTATAGAAAAAATTAAATTCTCAAATGCCTAGCAAGAGAAAGAGATGTGCACCGTGCGCGCAAGCAATGCACTTCTCTCGTTGCTATCTTTTTTTCTGCTCTTCTCTGGCCCTCCGCTGCTCGCAAATGCATGCGAAAAACAGTTCTACATATCGCATGGCACAGGTATTTGTACATAATGCCTCTGATAATAATCACTGGGTGCAGTTCAAACATTTTGTCCATTTTTTCTCTCTCTCTCTCTCTCTCTCTCTCTCTCTCTCGTCGTCGTCGTCGTCGTCGATGTTTTTTTCCCTCTTCTGCCTACTTCATTACATTTCGCAATTTTCTTTCGTTCGTTCTGTGTGTGTGTTTTTTTATATATAATTCTTATTCTTTGTTTCATGACGTTATTATAGTTGCTCCACGTGAGGCAAGACAGTTGTATTTTTTCTCTCTCCTTCTTTAAAGTTTTTGCCTTCGTTAGTTTTATTTCATCTTCAATGGCTTGCATAGATCAACTGCCGAGTGCAACCTTTTCATTCATAGTGTTGCACGCGTACGATTAATGGTTTACGGACGAAGAAGCCGTTTTATCACTTCTTGTTACAAACAATTTACGCTAGAGTGATATCTTTTGAAAAAGTTCAAATGTGAATGACAAATCCGTTTGCAATGGATTGTCTTGTCTTATTTCAATTAGTTTGCCTAGAGTGTATTATGATATTATTACAAATGTCTTTATTTCATGTTGAAAATGAAAGAAAGTCACTATTTTAACACCGTTTAATTCTTTTGTTTCGTTTTTTTTCCCCAGAATTTTCGTGAGCAATGTATCGATGGTTCGGGACTGCCGTTGCTAACGGAAGACCATTTAATGCATTCACTCAACATGAAATTGGGACCTGCATTAAAATTACGATCGGTTTTATTGAAAAAACTCGGCGGGCCATGCCCATGTGTTTCATGCAACTGCCCAATCAACAATCCATTGAACAATTCCAATTTGACGACTGTCAATTCAGCGCCGAGCCCGCTCAACAGTGGCCGACCGTCAAGCACTGGTTCTGGTACTTAATGAAAGGAATGGAAGGAATATAATCCAAACGGAATACACAGACATAAGCAACGATTATTTTCTTTAGATAATACAGTTCGAGTCAAGCATGAATTCAAGTTTAAACAGATAAAAGAAAACAAGTAAAAATAAAAAAGAAATACATTGTAAGTTTATCGAAAAGTCAAAATCCTAAGGATATAAATATATAAACTATGAAAAGAAAAAGCGTAGAAACAGATTTCTCCTGCAATATTTATATATATAAATGTGAATTTATTTAATTTAGATAGAACAGCATATCAGCTATATATTATTTTATGTAGGCATTAAATGATTAATGACAATTCGCTTTTAGACATCTCTTAGCTCGTTTTTAAAACGTTTCATTTAGGTGCAAAAAGACAATAAACGAAATTTAGAATGAAACTAGTAGTAGTTTAACTATTAAATAAATCAATATATAAAGAAAGAATAGGATGAATAAAAAAAACACATAGAAGCTATCGCAAGAGTTATTATATATATGCATCGAGTGCACCCTAAAGGCAGACTGATTTATTTTTTAAATTTCAATAATTATTGCATCAAATATGTGCTAAAATGCTGAAAACAACACATGTCTCTTGTTTGATATGGCAAAAGCCAAAAATTTGAGTCGATTGATGAAAGTCATGCTGAACTCGTTCCTACACTTGATAGGTATGAAAGGAAAACCTCCAACAGTTTAATGAATGGTGATTTTTATTGTATCACTTGAGTTAGCAATTCATTTATTCATCTAATTAATTGTAATTGCTTTTGCTTGCGGCCTTTCATGAGTCCACTGCGGCACACAAAGTCGAAAAAACTTTCAATATAATCACTTGCCAGTGGGACTAATTGACTTTTTATGTTCGCAAACGTCTAGAAATACGAATGTATTTATTCAAATGACATTACTTTGTTTGCACAGATTACATGAAATTAAGCGATGCAAATGTACACATAATTGCTTGCTACAAAGACACTGATGCAACAATGATACGATGGATATTGACCATCAACTCTGTCCAGATGTTATGTTTTTGGATTTCATTCGCTTTGCTTTGAATTTATAAAATAACTTCAAGATTGATTCAGTGCTGCTGAAACAAGCATTCGCACATCAGGAACAAGCAATATGGTCTTTGCACATCAAACGAGAGTATGAAACACGCGCTATAATTCCCATTTTGAAATGTGAGCACAGCACAAGTCGACAAATTCCTCATAGATGCACAAAACGTACTTAATCGAGTTAGGCATAATGACACACACACACACACTTAATCGCAAGAAGTAATTTAATCATTTTCAACAAAGAATGCAACGATTTTTGATTTGTTCGAAACAGACACACATTTCCCAACTCATAAACCTTTTTTATCGCCAAAATTGACAAGAAAATCAACCCGTTGAAGGAAACGTAGACATTTTTTTATTGTTTTCTTCTCAACCGCTTTAATGACGACAATAACCATTAGAATCATTAATTGATAATATAACCGATGTACTTACCCAATCGAATTGCAATTGATGATGGGACACACGAAAGGGAGCATCTGTTTTATGAAATTTTTATTTCTTTTTTTTCATTGCCTAAGAGACACACACAATTTATATTATCAAAAATGGAAACAATATTAAAACGCAAAACTATGCAGAATATTTATTTAATTTCTGATAAACATGTTGATCAGTATTTTTTTGAATAAAACACAATATGAATAACAGTCAAAAATATGTCGATGTTTTGTTTTCAGTTTTTTTTTCTCTTTTCTTAAGGTTTTTTCTCACTTTTTGCTACAAGAATCTTGCAATGGTATGATATGAAATGGGTTTGTATCTTTGATGATGATGTGGAATTTTTGAGCGGGCTGCTCCATCAAGCATGTTCACTTGTTCATGAATAATGGATATACAATAAGTACGGTTTCTTCAGCACACACAGGTAAATCTTATGACGGCTTCGAAAAGATAGGCTAAGATTCAATTCCATACAAACCATGACGTGGGATTCCGAAAAATATCACATCCTTAAAAGTGCTCGAGTGAAAAACGAAAAGATTGCAACTTATTATCGATTTATTCAATACACTTGGTTTTTGTTGTTTGTAAACTGGGTAAAATGAATGGAGAAAGAAAAAAATGTTGGTAGATCAACATGAGTCCTTGTTCCTCTTGTTATTTTTTGTTTTTTCGGAAAAATCTATTACATATGCGTTTATTTAAAGTCAATCGCAGTTATACAGTTAAATATTATGATGTGCATATTATAATTGACTATTACAATACACATAGTTAAAGTGGTTGTTTGTTTTTTGTTGGTTGTGTGACTCTCCTCCTAGAAAAACATACTGAATTTTTTATTTATGTTAATACGATTAATTTTAATGTGCACATTTGCCATATAGTATTTATATAACTTGAATGAATCCTTCTTTTAAAAATCATAAATTCATAGATCATAGGTAATATATACAACATTTTTTGGTTTTTGAAAATTTTCCATCCAAATCAGAGTGTTGAAACGTTTTTGAGAATGTTGACCATCGAAATGGCGATTAGTTTTTACATACAAATTACAATGAATGTGTGGCAATCCATGTTGATAATGTACTTAAGTTTTTATATTTCATATTTTCTTTTTAGATAATTTTTAAAGGCTCAACAGAAACATTGAATAAACACTTTGAGATTATAATACTTGAACAATTCAAAATATAAAAAAATGTTCCCAGCAATTTGTGATTGAAGAAAAGAAAAATGATTTCAATGATTGGCCGGTCATACAGAGTGAATATTCTTCATTTGTTTGTGGCTCTTCAAAATAATAATTGTATTGCGGTTTTTTGAAATGAATCGTGTTGAATGAGATATTGGACATCAATTGAATATGGCGTAATTTATTTTCGGAAACAGCTGATTGGGTTGAAGTAGCACTGGCGATAACGAGTCTGTCTTTTATTCACCAGCTGTCGATAGGAATCCCAAACGGGAAAATTGGAGCTGCCACCACCTCCTCGGGCACCAAAACCAGGATTGTTTGGCACAAATGACCGATACTGCAATTGGTATCTGTCTACTGAGTTTGGTTCATCGTAGTTAAAATACTGTAATGCCTGCATTGGTCGATAGTATGGATAACTCCGATCCACATCCGAAACTCCCAACTGATTATCCGATGATTCCTGGTTGGGACAAAAGCATTTTTATCAATTCACTTTTATTAAAACAAAAATTGTTTCTATTATCAACTTCCTTTAAACTTTATTTTTTCACTTTTTGAATATTTTCATTTTTTTCCAACGAGCTTTTTTCACGTTGATCAAATAAATGAAAACAAAAGTAGAGAAAACAGACAGATAACTTGAAAAACACCGCCTATAAATGTCTCGGCATTTCAAATAAGTCATTTAACGGGAGCTCACCTGACTATCGGTGCTTCCGTTGGGCCGAGCCATCGATAAACCAACACAAAGCAGCATCACAAAGATCAACAGTTGATAGGCTTTCTGCATGTTTGTTTGTGACATTCCTTTAAGTTCGTTGTGTGTTTGCTTTTATTCCAAATAAAACCGGATTGAATTGACCTTTAAGAGCGCTAGAAATTGATACAAATACAATCGAATGGGGTAAATATACATTGAAACTTTTTCGGTCGAGACTCGAATGTGAAAGAAAATGAAATAAAAGAAAAAAAATCTTTTACGAAAGCCGAAAGGACTGCTTTTGTTCAAAGTTAGTAGGTAATTCAAATCAATCAACCAACATTCAATTCATGCCATGCATTTCATGGTGTTGTATCGATAGCATTTCTTTGCGTTAAATTGGAATAATCAAAATCAATGGCCATCTTTGAGAGAGGCAAATCGAAACCCTCGACTATGACTATACAGTGTACGGCATCCATGTCCTTAAAAATACTCCAAATTTTAATCCATTTTGTTTGGTTGTAGAACATGAGTATGGAACAGTTCAAGCAAAAGAAAAGGAAAAACCCATGAATAAAAAATATTTCAGATCGTATAGGGAGGGTTGTACTCTTGTTTGACTTTAGACTTCCTAGAGCAATTCCCATCAATAAATGAGAAGCGTAATCATCTTTCATCATCACATTGCTTTTCGATGTATCGTTGCATGCGTAAATTTATTGGGAGAATATCTCAAACAAAATATTCCGGTCGGGGAATTATGAGCGATTAAGTCAACTATGACTTCCAGTAATTTTGTTCATATTTTTTAATCCATTATGCTTTAATGATACTCGACATGTCTTCGTTGGTTGGGGCCGCCGTAGAAAAGTTTTCATTTTATTAATTTGCTTGAAATGTTGACAAAATATTGATATTTTATGCAAACATCTTGTTGTCAGCGTGATGGGTTGAATCGACATCACTCCATTGAACTTAAAAATTGACGACAGGCAATCGGGGAAGAAGAGACGCATTTGACGCATATTTCGTGTAGGTCAAACCAAAAAAACCCACACCGCCTTGAAGTGATTTTCTTCAAATTAAACAACTCGAAATTAAACGACGTAAATGGATTAATCAATGTGCTGTTCGGCCGTGATTGTTTGCTTGCTTACAATCGTAAAATTCGATGTAAATTAAAATTACACCTATAAATAATTTATTGACGTGAGTACACAAATTAAAATGATTACAAAATGGTTTCTAAGACGGATTATATACGTCTTTTCGGACGAAATCAAAGCTAGCGTGGAATCGATGTCAGCCGCAACAAAGTGAACATAAATCGTAATGAAGTCATCTGTTATCTGAAGTAGCAATGATATACGATGATTCTGGGCGACTGAAAAATATTTACATAAAATTATGACCGCCTTTTGATGCGAAAGATTTATGTGTGGCAAAAGGGTTACCATTTTTCCTCATCAACACATTCCATTTTCCCACTTATTTTTGCGTCAACATCAATTCCACACAGAATGACGAATGACTAGATCCTTCTCACACATGGGAACATTCTTTAAAACAACTTTAATTTGTCATTTGATGTGAAAATTTGTGGAAAACTTCATTATTTATTCGGTCTTTTGAAACGTATGATCCAGGAGACTTTTGTCAATTTTTCCAACGGAAATTTATGTTCGTATCATGATGACGCTGATGCTGATATGATGATGTACTCATCCCACATTCAATGTTGTAATAACAAATTTTTCATCGGAGACATGCCTGTAAATATCAATTCAGTGGAGCACGACACATCGAAGTAAACAATGTTTGAAGGCAAAGTTCGTGAGGGGAATTCTCTACATGTTATGTAACTTTGAAGTCGGCTGAAGAGAGAGAGAGAGAGAGAGAGAGGAGAGAGTGGTATATGCACGCCTGCGAAAAAGGAAGTTTTTCTCAATGCGATTGATGCGGTGGCATTCTCATAAACACATATGACTTACACGATAAGAAAATTTTAAACCACATTTGGTGAAATTGATGCCACGTCACGTAATCCGCAGTGTCATTTTATAAGCCTAATAATCTTCAACTCTAGAAATAGGGTGTTAAATTGCAACAATCAAACGAAAGAGATGTAATTCAAAATTTTCACCAGAAGAAATCAAATCAACAGGCTGTTAACGGTGGCACAATTCAAGTGGGTTACGTTTTACCATTTGATATTCATAACAAGCGCAACTTTAATCATATCGATGGGTGGGAAAATGCAAAAGGACAAAAAAAAACGTGATCAAATCGCATTTTGATTCCAGTCTAATGAATATCACAACTTCGTCACGACGAGAAAGGTCTTCATGAAAACTTTGTCTGAATGAACTGCGTCACTGATTTTCCAATGAAATCAACAAGTGGCTGCTTGGAATTGGCCGAAAGTTTTGATGACAGCAGAACATTGTAACGAAAAAAAAGAAGATTATTGACAATGTTATGAATATTTTCAAAGCTTTTCTTTTCGCTTATATTTTATTTATTCATGCATCGAGAATGATATATATGATTATTGCAATGATCCCACGGTAAAAACGATGTTGAATACACAATGAGATAAGTGCAGACATTTCAGAATGAAACACTCAATTCAAAGAAATCAGCAGTAGAAGGAGATAGAAAAAAAATGAACGCATCGAATATATGACGCTCATGCTGTCATCGTAGTGAAAGTATGTAATTTAATAACATAAAGTAAATACACCAAAAGAAGGCCTGTTGTCTTTTGCAGTTTTTCTCCGGTTTTGATACAGGTCGTATGTTTTTGACAGCTTATATAACGCTACAATTCGAAATCAATCGGCAATGGCATGTCTTTTTCTACAAATCACGTCCAAATCCAATGCTAACGGAATTTCTTCTATATTTTTTCAATGAATTGTTTTTTGATGATGCAACATTTCGGTGCAAGCATGCGGAACCATTGAAATTGTTTACATAAATTCTCATCAGTTTTTCGCAAATACTTCGGGGCTGAATATTGTTTGAAATTAACATTTTACGCATTTTAAATACTGTTAAATTGTGCATTGAAATCCAATGTCTAAATTCCATCTGGAATTTTGGGTAGACATATTTTTCTGGGTATGTGTTTGGAGCATTTGATGATAATAAACAAATTCCAAGCTCAAACAAATAAATCATTGCGTCCGTTTTAGAGTGTGAGGAGTCAATTGGATGAAAAAGAAAAATTGGACTATGACAACTCTCCCGAGATGTAATATTCATGTTTGACATTAAAATGTTCTTGTAACGTTTTTTTTCTTTGTTTCAAACATTAAGTTTGACTCTTGGTATCGTCATTCAGTCCGAGGAGTCATTCATTTGGAGGAGTCATTCAGATTGAATTCCACACAGCCAACACACAATTTTTAATATGTCGTTTTGTTTTAAGCATGTGCGTAGTATTTCATGTGGAGTTTATGTTCATGATTGAACGATGAACTGTGCGTGTGTCATTGCAAATTGTTATCCATGGGATTCACATAGAAAAGTATGAATCGGACGCTCCAATATGGATTCTATTTACTTTTCACAAAATAAACATAGAATATCAAACTGTGTGTTACTTTCTGTTGTTATAGCGCAAAAGTTGGAGAAAATCGATGTACAATCAAAAATGTTTCGAGAGGGAAAAATGATGCGATGGAATGAGGAGATGATTGTTTTTCTTTTGCTTTTGTTTTGCTTTTTTTGTTTTCATTTTTTTTTATAGTTGAAGTGGCCACATGTTAATCAAGTTTTTATTGTAGAGTTTTGTTTTCTTTGTGGTTTACTGTTGACTTTTCGTTTGCGTCTACCAATTCCTGTTGTCCTTTTCACCCATCAGCAGCACAATTGATGTTGAAGCCATAGCCATCACCACAAAAACCACATGTTATATGTGGCGTTTCATGTTATTAAAACTTTTCTTAAAATATTAATTTCAATTTGGTGAATTTGGCTATGCGAGATGGGAAACCCTTCGATTTCCAACTTGTTTCTTTATTATTATCCAATTTTATGCATGATGGAAATTGACCGATGAAGGTAAACCAAAGACGTAGGCACAACTAGATGATGGATTAGATGTGTATAGAAAAATCGGAAAATAAGGAAACTCAGCCGCCGCCACCACCACACATATTGTGTCTGTCCAATTTTGTAACACATTATTTATAGCATAAGATATTGCTTAATCCCTTGGAAGAAATTGTCCTTTTTGGAGCAAAGGTTGCTTGCCGCCGCCGTCGTCTTCGTCACCGCCGTTGTTGATCTTTGCTGGAGACTCTTTAGCATACACAACGTCTATTCATCTGCAATTTCTCAAAGCTGACTCATTTCAATTGAGTGCCATTCTGTTGCATGCGTGCAAACCAATTCACACCATTTAAGCCTCTTGAAACGTAAATGCTATTCGTTTGTCATTTTCCATTTGATCTTTATCTCAACGAAAGGAATGAAATCATTTTGACCTTCACATTTTGCACACCAACATTCGATTGCCTGGCATCTGATTGCCTTTAAATCACATTTAAAATACACTTCGCTTCGATACAGTATCAACCTATAGGCCAGTGTATATATAGCAAATGCAAATGGCTCTGATTCGCCGATTCCATGCGTTTTATTTAAACGAAGTTTTATCAAATCAAGAGAACACTATAAACATTTTATGATGGCGACGGAAGAAATCAGATCCGTTTACAAACACAACCACTGACGCATATGAATGTCCATCTTTCTAAAGGAAATTCAATCGAATGCAATTGCCAGTGTTATACTCAGACAAATTTATCATTCAATATAATTCATATTGAGTACTACTCTGCAATCATCAATAGTGTGAGTTATCGCATGAACAAAAAAAAAATTAAATTGAAATGGTCACAATGTGAAAATGTATTGCTAAATTTGATTTAAAATTAAAATCAAACGCATTAATGCCGGTTTTATTTGCATCATTTGAATTCATCATTTAAATTACTGATTTATTTTTCGATTTTCCTTTACTAAGTCCATTGCTGAAATTTTTTTACCGCTTTTGCAATGACGTCGTCAATTTCCGGAATAGAAGAGAGAAAAGAAACGAGAAATATTCCTAGTAATTTCACTGCACGTGTTCACACCAGTAAGAATACAAAAGTTAAAACAAAAAGTTTGAAACGTCATTAATGGATTAGATTGGAAAATGTCATTATAACAGAGCTGTTATAGGCACCCAAAAAGAGCTGGTACCGAAATAGGTGCGCACGCTCTTTATAAGTGCCGCCACCCAACACCATGTAATGTTCAAGTGCCGCACTCAATAATTTTTTTTGTATTTTGAAACATCAAAAATCACAAAAAAATTAAAATTATTATACTTTATTCATTTTTTTAAGTTTTTACACAGTTTGACTACGTCAATAATCAAATTCATTGTTGAAACGTCAAATTTTGAGTACTGTCAAATTCAGTATATAAGTGCAGTCAAATCATGTGTTAATATGAATTAGACAGTTCTCAAAATGTAAAAACTAAAAAACAATGAATAAACTAAAATAATTTTATTTTTTTTTTGTGATTTTTGATGTTTTAAAATACAGAAAAAAATATTGAGTGCGGCACTTGAACATTACATGGTGTTGGGTGCCGGCACTCATAAAGAGCGCGCGCACCTATTTCGGTGCCCGCTCTTTCTCGGTGCCTATAACAGCTCTGCATTATAACTGATTTCACCCATTCACGTTATAATATCCACTGCGCAAGTTCATCGGTACACATTATAAATTCGATGATTTGATTAGGCGAACGTATGTAGACTTCATTGTCATTCAATTTACATGATATAATTTTAGAAAATCATTTCAATAAATAGTTTAGTCGACAACCACAAAATTGTGGAACTTCCCTCTACAAGGGAAATGGCATAAATTATGTGGTACAGTACATGGTATTTGCATATTTAGTGGTAAAAAATAATTAAAAGTGTATGATTTTATTAAAGAGAGTGTGTGAACGTGTGTAAGAGAAACAGAGAGAGAGAGAGAGAGAGCGTGAGCGAGAGAGAAAGATAGATATAGATAGAGAAAGGGAGCGCGGAAAGAGCGAGCGCTAACGAAGAGCATCATTTGTCGAAGCCAAAGCATTAATGTATGCAATATTCATGAGCATCAATTCCACCAAAATGTTGTGCACATGTTGATAGCACTTGAGTTTGTTTTGTCGAATGGAAAACGAAACACAATCTTCTGGATCTATTGGAAGTAAATGCAAATGATTTCTCTCAAAATAAAACATACTTTTAGTTTTCATGTGTATTATTTTCCACGTGTCGTTTAATTATTAAAATTGTGAAATCTTCCGTTAAATATTGCCGCAGCTTGATGCCTTTTGTGTTAATATGTGAAGATGGCATAAGCTAATTCATGAGAAAGTAATAAGCTCTAATTCAGTTAAAATATGGTATCTAATGATGGCGGCCATTTGCAACGCTAACTCCCAGTCAATTTTGATCGCTCTTTGCGACACGTCAGCACTTGAACATTATTCCGGGAAGCTGCAAAAGTTATGCACACTTCTTTCTATCCTTTTTAGTCTGAACGAATATCAATCGATGGGAAAATAATTCACATGAATTAAGAAAACGTGACATTCAGCCCCACATAAAGTGTGGATCAATCTATGCAAGTGGTAATTTAATCTTCATAAAGCCGATTTACGTCAATGATACGAGACGCAGTATGAAAAGAACCTCTTGTACTGATTTGTACAGGTATCGCTTTTTTTTAGTTTGTATTTGAAACAAACAAACAATGACAAAGTTTTACCGTAAATATTCACTTGTGAATTGCAGGAGAAAGAAAAAACTGAGAACATGGCTCTTGTTGAGGTCTTAACACCGACCATTATCCACTAACGCTATTTTTACCACTGACTGACTGAATGCATACCCCGGATCGATTGTGAAGAAAAGCGCTTCGGGATATGATGACGAATAACTCTCTATCTTCTCAAATTTCTGGTGGGACATTTCAATTGGGTTTATTACTCGCATCAACAACATTATTCCAGATTGTATTATTACTCAATTTTCAATCAGCAAACGGATTTAGTTACAATGACACCGAAACCGAGGAGGAAAAAAAATGCTCGATGGATTTGTTAAGTAAGAGATTGTTTTATCAACATTAGTATATCCAATTTGATTTATAGCTTATGGTTTCAACGAAAATTTGAATTACATCCTGATGTTCATAGAATAAATTGGAATTGTTGGTCTTAACACGAAACACAGTTAATTAACTTTGTTCGGAGTTCAAGGTATGGGGAAATGCCTTTAACATATGAAAAATAAAAACATATGAAAGTTTCCGAAACAAATGCCCTGAGCGTCAATTTTTTAACATGATCTACGTCTCTCTGGCTCCTGATACATTGTTTGCTTTAAAAAAGTTAATTTTTCCCTTCAAACACGTACGTGGGAAGTATATTGACCACTTGCGTCATACCGCAGGACTAATGGATGCGTGTTTTGAAAAAAAAATTTGCATTTGCACAATGTGTGCCTTCAAGCAGAAAATGTAACAAACATTGTCCTGCACACACTTTTTTCCAATTACAACTGTATGAAGCTGTTGAACTTAATGAATGGCCATACACATTGTTCCTACACACGCGTTTCGCTATTTTCCACTATTTTCCTGTGTACGTTTGAGCTTCATTCAATTGACAGCACATAAAGTGGTACATTTACTATAACAATTTGTATCGCAAAGTGCATGCAAAAACTATTAGTTCACATCTCGTATAGTGGAGACATGGGCAAAAAAATATGTGAAGGAAAAGAACGCAATCAATTTTATTAATAGCGTGCTAAAACGAATTAATGACGTGAAAACGAGATAATTATTGACGTGAGAATGTCTTTCGTTCACATATATCCGGAAGCATATGGTGTCTGTTTGATCTACATTCTGCAATGTGAGCAAAAACTTTTGATCGAATACTTCAACAGTCTTGACTCGCGACAACAGAAAGTGTCAGCGTAATGAGCACAATGTTTGACATTCCATTCAGGAAATAATTACCAGAATAAAAAATTTTGGCCGAATATTTTGCTCGACTTGCCATAAATGTTCTCAACATTTATGCCAGAACTTTTAAATACCTTTTGATTAATGCCATGGTTTGTCTTCAAAACGGTTAAAAGTGTCGTTATCGACTAATCCTAACTCATTTTTTCATTTCGAACATTTTCGTTCTTACTATTTCCGGTGATTTAAAAAAAAAAAAAATGCATTCAAATAATTCCAAGATTAGTGTGTATAATTTAGCGCCCACAAACAATAACTTCATGGAAATCAGAACTATGGAAATTTGCGTTAAATTTAATAAAAAATGTCCATCACCAAAAAATAAGTGATAATTGTGAAGCTTGGATGTGGGCGATATTTGCTGAAATAATTCATTACCCGGATTTAATGAAAGCGCTACAATCTGTTTGTCGATGTTATTCTTGGTGTTTTCTTCACGTACACACCGCTTGACCGACGGACACACGAAAACTTTGCTAATTGGCAGATAAAATTAAATTGAATGTTGTTCCATGTTGTTTTAGGCAAACGATTAAGGTTGAAATATTCGCAACCGACCCGCAGTTTTATGGTCAATTATTCCATCAATTTCGGTCGGACGTGTTCGGCTTTTGGTATGGCCACGTTTTAACCAAATTATGTGGTGGGCTCATGAAGTGAGCCAAACAACCGTTAATATTTTAACATTGTCGATTTTCAGCTTCCTCCCAAGAGAAAGTGGAATATGCACGTGCCAAAGGCAGCAATTTAATTAGAAACTTATATTGCACTTTTTGATTTACTGATGACTTCATTAAATTCGATTTAACCAAACGAATTAAGTTAGCATATGCAGACTTTACGCCTTATCACGTGATTAAAATTGTAATATGAATGATTCAGAGTCATTTAGAACGCCTAATCTTCAAACACAATATTTCATATATCGCATTAAAAAGAATTTTGTCAGAAGACCAAAAATTGTTTCTTTAGATTCAAAATTAGTTGGTGTAAAGATAAAGAAATAAATCACAATTTTACGCGAATTAAAGTGAATAAATAAAGAAAAATTAACGAAAGATTTAAAAATGACTTTTCGTTGAGATGTCTCTTAAAATATTGTAGAAAAAAAAAACGAAAACCAGTTTGTAAATGCAAAAAATACTCACTTTTGGATGATTTTCCAGGACACCTTTATAACGTTCGAAACGTTTATCAAAATTTGAATTGAGCTAATTTCAAAAAATGTAGCTTGTCGTTTGTTGCAAAATGATTTCCAATAAATTCAGCTCCATAAAATTGTTGCTTATTTTGAACTGAATGTGTATTCTTCACTTGTTTTGCATTTAAAAATAAAATCGTTGATAATATTTAGATAACTAGTGTACGATGAAAAAAAAGTGGCAATTGTGGCGAAAATGAATGAGAAAGAGCGTACAATATTAAAACACCACAACTGTACAATACGAAAGTCCTTGAAGCACTTGGCAAAAGCTTTGCATTTGATCCGTTTATATAGAGGGTCGTTCGATGCTCAAGCTGTGCGACAATCGGTCGTTTTTTCTCGCTCCAACACATTCCACAGATGCCTGAACGAATGCTGAATAGAGAGAGAGAGCTACCCCCACTTGTTACACGACGCTCACTCAATACCATACACGTACGCATATCCAAGCATTTCATCAATAGCCACACACACACACACACTCTGTCTCTTTACATATTTCAACTTAGAGCGTGCCGCTTTTCCCACACTTACACGCTTTCTGGTGTTTTTATTGCATTACTCTTTCCTTCGATTGGATGAAACACTGTGATTTTTTTTCCTTCCACCGGAAAAATGAAAGCAACAACGAGACAAATACCACGCATTCCGTCTAATCTAATCATCACATCGAAGCAAGTAATTTGCAGGTGTCTTTTACGTAAAAAGAGGTTGGGTGAGAATAAAATTGGATTTACGACAACATTTCTCAATGCCATAACATATGCCCATTAATAAAGCATCAATGATCAATGTATGGCTGCCAAATTTGTCTGTCGTCTGCAGTGAAAACACGGATCGTTTTTACATTTTCGACATTTTTTGTGTATTTTACGGAGTTGGAGTAAACCAATTACAGACAAATTCGATATAAATGATGGTGTCTCAAAAGAGTATTGAAGTAAAATCATGTATTCAATGGGTAAATGAACATTCGACGGTGGTGAAGCTGAAATGATAATGCGTTTTATCAAATTTTGAATATGCAAAACAATTTTTGATGACGTTTCATTTCCGGCGAATTTTCATATTTTTGTCATTTTTCTATGTATTTATTTATTTGACTTCCAAATTCGAAGAATGCCGATATAAATATGACTACTGCACGTGCAAAGACAGATTATATTTCATTTTTAAAGCAGTCGAAAGCTATATTTTTCGTAATTTTTTTAAAATATTTTTCTTTGTAGGTTTGAATCGAAAAATGCGTTCATTCAAAATTGAACTCAGTAGGTTTTCATGTATTTTGTGAGAAAACTGATTTTTACAATTGACATAAAATTTTCATTGGCCCAATCAATTCACTATAAACATTTCCTTTAGCATTTTGCTTTTGCAATGGCTTCAAGTCGCCCTGACGCAACGGACAAGTGTTGAAAACTGATGCCCATTGAATTCACTATACATAGCTATACAGATATTTCTAATCCGTTACTTAGTGCGTCACTTGTTTGATTCTCTTGATTCTAGCTCTTCTACCTTTTTGAAATGAAATTTCATTCCGATCATGTTTGGTATTGTTTCTCTTCAGAAGAATCAGAAAAAACGTAAATTGTTAAAACTTTTAACTTAAAAGTATTATTATTTTACATTCAACACATAATTGAAATTAGACGCCATTTTATCAAAGATTATTTGATTTGCGAAATATTTTCTTCTTTTCAAATTCGGAAAAATCGAAATTTGAATTCCATGTGTGATCATCGTGTTATGAGCTGATGTTAGCAGCACTAACTAACGTCATATATAGCTAACCAACGTCATAACGCAGCTTTTGTCAATAATTGTTTAGCAACAATTACAGTGAAATCTTTTCAATCTGTTTAGCTTATGGTTTTTCCATTGACAAATTATGTGTTAAGTATGAATGAAAACTTTGTTGAATTGTTGCAAACACAGGATTTCCCCTACTCAACTCTGTTTCAAGTCCATCTCATTCAATTTTATGATCGTACCTAGGGGAATTTATCATTCAAAAATTCATAAATTCCGGTGTGTTTTGAGCTATATTCAGAATATCCACTAATATTCACAGATATTCAGTTTTTCTTATTTGGCAGTTCAGTCGTTCTCATCAGCCGCCATCTTGAATTCGTCGCCATCTTGAAAATTTTATTCAAAATATTCACAAAATTCACAACATTCACATATAATCGAAATTTTGACGATGATTCAATGAAAAAAATATCCACAATATTCACAAATATTCACATTTCTCAAGCCTTGAATGAAACCCCTAGGATCGTACACGTGTTCTTTTCGTCGGCAGCTTTACTGTTTCATTTGTTCCATTTACCTACAATTATTTGCCATTATCGTTCAATTTTCGTTGTATTTTCAACGCAAAACAACATTACCGAATTGTCACTAATAATAGCTCAACGTGATTGAAGACTTGCTAATGGATAATTTTACTTTTCCGCACACTTTGTTTGTATGGAAAAGTATTGATTTTACTAGCCAAGATTTCATGACATCTCCTCTTTCGGACCACTATAACGTCACGCCAAACTTCAAAAATCACATATCTGTACACTAGGCATTGTAGATGGGATCAAATCCTATCGATCAAGACCTATCTGCCTCCAAAAACATGTTGTTTACTATGAAATATGTGCAAAATAGCGATGTGCGTATGGCGTCGTCCGCGTTCGCGTCCGCGTCCGAGCTTTTTGTTCGCCGATTATCTCAAAAAGTTGACAAGATAATTGAGATCTGTAAGAGCCAAAAGTTTTGGCATGTCGAGACAAAGCTTCGGATTGATTTTGAGCCCATTCTGATTTACCAATTTCGTACCATAAGCCTCCGACTGAGGACCTGAAAAACCTTGAAAAATGACACTTTTGTACGGAAAGTACCCGAAAAAAGCATTTTTCAGGGTTTCGATCAAGGCAAACTGCCATTTTTTTGCAAAAATAATGGGAGTCTGTGAACAACCAAACACCTACTTGCCCATAAATTTGGTTCGAAATCAACATTTCTTGAAATTTTTGAAATTTTTGAAATTTTGTTCGAAAATGACACTTTTGTATGGAAAATGGTCGAAATAGTTATATTTTAAGGTCAAAAATGATATGAAAAAAGGGTCCATTGAAATTTTGGTTAAACATTAAGCGGGAGGTAAACTAAATTGCTGCGGAGCGGAAAAGTTTGGATTACGTATGTAATTCGTTTTATTTATCGTAAATTTTAATTGGACATATCTAATGTACAGTCTGTGTCGAATTCTAGAGTATAGACGATTCTGAAGTTTGACTAAATGAAACCGATTGATTTGGCCAAGTATTATTATAAAATTTATTCTTCTAGAAGTGACGCAACGATGATTTAATACAAACGTGTAATTATGTGCATTTCGTTTTTATTTATGTCATTCATATTCATTGAAAATTCAACATGTGACCATATGCTGTGATAATACACAAGATGCATTGTTTGCAGTTTGCAAATATCATGACGTTCAACTCTTTTTTTGAATGCACGAGTCAGCACGAGTATTTTTCGTGTTTTTCATCTTTTGGAAAACTTTCAAAGATAAAACGGGAGATGATGATGAAAAAGAAGAGAATCAAATACATTTTTATTTATTTATTTACTATTTATTTGATTCGGTGATGAAATCTGCATAAATTAATTTATGCGTGCAATGATTTCATCACATGCTGCCTTAAAGCCAATTACATTTTTAAAACTATAACATTTTGATTTTTATAAATACTGCAGAAACATAATATAAATATGATTTTTATTATAATTTGGGATTTTCAATGTTTAGTAAATAGCTTTTTAGAAGTGTTTTAAAATCATCATTATCTGTAATATTACGTATAAAATCAGGTAACTTGTTCCAAAGACTAGGACCTCCAATAAATAAGGAAGTTTTGTGAAAGTTATTCTTAGGCATATTTACTATTAGTTTATTAGCAGATCTAGTATTATTTGTATTGATTTTAATTAAATTATTCAAATAAGATGAAGCTTCATTTATTATGATTTTGTTGAACATATTAGCAATATGGAGTGTTCGCCGATCATAAAGAGTCAATAAGCCAAGTTCATTCCTGTGATGAGTTATGTGTTCTCTTCTGTTTACATTTAAAATATATCTAATGCATATATTGAGCAGTTTTTCTAATTTATCATTTTCACCGTTAGTTCCGTGAACACCATAAATATGATAAACTACATCCATGGGAACCACTACAAAATGGGAATTATTAATGAATTAACCAATTGCAATTTTATATCATCATCGTTACCTTATATTCCATTCATATGAATGAAAAAAGATTCCATTTTTCTTTGAGAAAATTGAAAAACCGATTTATTCCAACTTTTTGCTAAAAGCTAGATTTCCTAGATTTTTCTATAGCCTTTTCATCTATCTTTAATATTTATTTATGCTAAAATTATAATTGGATTTAAACTGTACCGACATTCCTTTATTTTATTGATTACCGTCTTGTCGTTTCATACAATATTGATGATTATCAACCATAGTTAAGCCAGAGTGCATTTATGGTAGCATTTTTCTGTTTTTAACAAATTTTAATTGAATATCGAGTCTTTTTCGTCAGTTTGGAAATCGATTAAAATCAAGTGCAATGAGTATAGGCCGTGAAATAGTAATTCAAATCAAATGATCGTCGTGATAAAATAATGCTTTCCATTTTTTGTTCTAAAAGTGATTTTGCCTATATAATGTACATTGTACACACAGCTGTTTGTAACTATAACAATGACAATGGGTTCCAATTTATCAAATCAAATTCAAGACCGTTTGACACTCCTAATGATATTTACTTGTTATGCAGTAAAATGAAATGAGATCGTAAACAACTGATAACCATTCGATTTTGATGATAAATTACCTTTAATTATCGAGGCACAAGTGACGTTTAAACAAAGTCAATCATCCAGCGCATATCAAATTGGAGTGCGTCAGCATGTTTGATGTAATAAACAGCACTTGATGTTGAATCATATCACCATAACTTTCCATATGATTGCGGATGCACATTCACGTTCATCCATCCATTGCCATCATCAAAACCGAAACGAAACACAGTATGACTTTTCCACTGGATAAGCTTTGACGGAATTTTCCACAAAGCTCGCGTGAAGCTCTTTCTTTTACTACTTTATATCAAATATTGATATTTACATGCAGCTTTTTCCAGCTTCAACCATGCTCTTAGCGATATCATCTTCTAGAAATTCTAGCGAATAACGGTTCCCTTTTTTCTTCGAATAGAAGAAAAATTCTTGGAATCACTCACAGCGTTCAGTTTGAAACTCTTTGCTCATTCCAAGATATTTTATACTCACGTTATTTTTAGACTGAAAGAAAAGCTTGCGAGAAATGGTTGAATCCGCGCGTAGGCGTGGAAACATATTTAAAGCATTCGATTTCATTTTTCCCTGCAGCAATGCAATTTGTTTCATTGATGTGCACCGAATTGGATGCGTTTCTAAGGTGATCACGACATTTTACGTGGTTAGAATAGTTTAATTTAATGCAACGCATTTTATCACATGATTTGCATCTTATCTCATGAAGCATGTATATACTCACCGGTATTCACTTCGAAGTAATTAAAAAATAACGCGATTTATTTGTACATATAAACTTTTATTGAAGCTTTGCTAAGTAGGATTTCACATTTGAAGGATGATTTTGCATGCACAATATATTTTAAATACATTTAGAATATTCAATAAAAATGGTTTCGTTATCATGGAGCTGAAAATTATTCTGCGATTTCTGATCATACAAATTGTGTGTGTGTGTGTGTGTGTGTGTGTGTTTCGTAAATGGTTTGTCATAGTTTATTTGCATTGTGTCGAAGGATGATTCAAATTGGCTTTGTATCCGGTGTTGATGTGTGACGTTGCATTCAGTGAATGCAAGATAGCTGAAAATATATGCCCAGCATAGAATCCTAGATAGAATCTCAGCACGCTAAGATTGTGACGTTTCATGATTGGGATCATCACCGGGTAGTTGGTGAATGAAAATTGCAAATTGTCACAATGCGAACAGTCTACGAGTATCCTGCGAATAATCTGAAATGATATGCACAGTCAACTTCATGTAAAAAACGAATCCATGACGAAATGTTGATTTTGCCGAAAATTTCTTATCGTTTTTGTAAGTGACCAAATCCAAATGCCTCCATCTTGGCTTGCTTAGTATCTATGCTCGGCATACACATTCCCCTATCTCGCATTCATTGGTTGTATTTTATTAGCCCACATAAATGTGTCGTCATATTGCAGGATTTAAAAAATAAACATTCTTTATTTACATTTGGTCTGTTTTCCAAAGTTGCTTCAATTTTGAATATAGCATTTTTATATACTCCATTGAATGTGTTCATTTAGAGTGTAGCTGTTGGACGTGTAAAAATAAGTGAATTATCAGAGCAGCGACTGAGTTTCCCTTACATGTACTGAGACATCAAACTTTTGCAAACGGATTAAATGACATTATTTTGTTGGAATGTTGCAGACAACTGTTGTTAAATAATTGAATAAACACGGCTTTGACCTTAATTCATAACTTGAAACCAATACAAACAAACAAACAAAAGAAAAAGTGACAAAACTGGATGCAAATTAGGAGTAAACAAACAAAAAATATATGTTCACTATGTGGAAATTTTTAGAAGCAGGTGACTGCATTGAAATAACATCTCCAATAGACTCGGTTTTTGTTTGTGCCAAGAGCTTCACCATGTCCTCTTCGTTGCAATCCCATCATCTGAAAGGAGAAAATTAGTCGAATGTGTGAGGCATTTCTCAGCATTTGATTATTCAAATTTTTCTACTTCATTGACAAAAAAAAATCTTGGAATATGTTGGTGTTTTTTGTTAGATAAATGCGAGACAAATCAGTACATAAGCCGCACAATGTCGGAAGCACATTGGCGTGTGTGAATGTTTTTGTTGTAAAATAATTTTTAGAGAGGAAATCAAATCATGTTTATTTTATTATCATGTGCCTCGTGTCGAAATTCACAACGAAGGTGTGCTGATTGCTTATTTTCATACGTACCGATTCATCTGTTGAATGACGTCCTTCGATTTTATTCATACTTGTTTCCACATTCAAATCGACTGGGATTTCGTAGTAGTTCAAGTCATTTTCCGTTCCAGCTGTTGCAGCATCGAATAGAAAATATGCGTCAATTGCAACACGGGGTAAGTGTAAAACTAGACTAGAATGATTTTAATAGCATTCCGTTTCGAATAACACCAACCTTTAAATTGTTGCAGCATTTCCTTCTCCAAACGCACATTCGTTGCAGGATGCCGGCTCATTTTGTGTATTTCAGCAATCCGTTGAATACCTTCTCTGTCATTATCTTCGAGCGCATGGTGAAGTGCTACCATTATTCGGTCAAGCAACAAAGCGGCACGTTTTGGAACAACCATCTGAAACGAACAGTAACACAATATTTTCTCGTGTTGTCTTATTTCTTCTTTATTTTAGTCTCTGCATCGCAAGTACATCGGATTAAAACTCTCAAAAGATATTCATTAGCGGAAAGAAACAAAGATAACGCAAAAAATGAGGGAAATGGTTGCATGAAAAATCTATAATCCGTTCTAATTTTCTTTACGCCGGAACAGCCACTTGTTTCACACAAACTGCTGTTATTCACGGATAATAGTAAGACATTCTCGAAATGTGTACCCACATTAATTTACTATTACACTTTGAATAGCGCCAAATGAAATGGCGTGAGTGGCAGCACATAGTAAACGTATCATATGGCACCAATTATATTAAATGGATAAATGATACACATAGCACGACTTATGTCGTCTTTACTAGCGTGACTTCTAGGTGTGAAAGAAGCAATTTTGTTGAATTATTATAATCAATTACGTATTGATCCGTTGTGCAAACAAGATTTAGTTTTTAAACGAAATTTAGATTCGATGTTTGAAAAAAGCGACAGCGAGATACAAGAAAAACACAAGCCGAATTGGAGACGTAACATGGAACATAGTAGGTCTAATCGGGATAATAATTGTCTACTGTTATCGGCGATAATCGATGCGCACGAGGTCATCATCGACCGCATTGCTTTTCATTTTTCTTTCTTCTACACGAATTTCATGCCCATTTGTTTGGAACTAGATTAATACCGTCTTAAATTCATTTTTCATACCTTGATTCGGTTTTTGCTTTCGAAAACCAATTTGTGTTCAATCTTTTTTCCCTATGGTTTTTCATAATGAGCCAATTTTGGTTTAGGAATCTTAATTAAATGAGCCACTTTTTTCTTCATTTCAAATTGGAGCAAACCATAGAACAGTATCCCTGCCGGTTGGATTATTGGATAAATGCAGGGAGTCAAAGACTTGTCGCTCAGGCTGAATTCAGTCTATTGCGACTGGACCTGCCAGTTAAATCAACAGTAAAATATAATCCTGACTTCCCAAAGACTCATTATACGGCAAAATGTGAATGAATTTTTAGTTTCAAGCAATTGGTTGCTTTTCGTGGAATTGAACAGACAAATGCTGGGATCTGTGAAAAATGACGCTTTTCATTATTACTATCATGTATCGGAGCATTTGAAACAAAATTACATTTTGCAATTGATGTATCGTATGATTATGACCAAAAAAAACACCCACATTATTTTGGATAGAAATTTTTTTAGGCACTTCTGCCTTAATTTCAACCAGTTTTTTGTATTTGAAACACAATTTTACGTCAAAAAAGACTTGAATTTAAAATGCACAACATATCACATTTCCGAGACGGCTGAAAATTAGACTTTGTTGAGAAGACCTTTTTACTTGAGTCTTCACAGTGCGATGACATTTCCAATTCACTTTAAATAAAACTCAAACGGTTGTCCTGATGACTCGCTTATTAAATAAAAGCCTCGAGATGGATGCTACGGTACTGTTTTATTTTCTTCTTCATGAGTCAATGACTGAACGAGCCGATGAATAGGAATTCACTAATAACTAGGCTCTAGTTGGCTGATTAGCAAAGAACATTTAAACTGATACAACCAAATTGTTTGCTGTCAAATCCTGTCTCGCTCACACCAACCGTCACACTGACTCGTTCGTGTACGAATTGCTGTTAGCGTAAAAGAGATTTTGTTCGCAGTAAACTCAGTTTAGATGTTCTTCAAATCGGTTTCAATGAATTATTCTCAAGCCGAAAAAAATAGGTTGTAACACTCTCGTATTAATATTATTGTATTATAATACTTTTCAAATGGACTGCTTTCAAAGGAAAGAGATATTTAGTACGAATATTTTTCTTTGCGATTTAAAGAAATGTGAAATGGAAATTGATAGAAAATTATAACAATACCGTAAACGCAGTTCCGCTGATTAATATATTTCAATCCGGAAGATGGGGTTTTTATTTCTGATTTCAATTTTATTGAACTCTCGGCTGAACTATGAGTGTATTAATTTTATTGTATTCTGATTTCACTAATCTTTAACCCTAATTTTTCCAATGAATTCTTGAGTTGAGAAAGCTGGATTTGTACACGAGCTTGCTCGTCGAGTAAGGAAATCTTTATTCTGGGATCAATTTCCCGTCACGAGTTTAACGTTCTAAATCGGTGTGCTTACTGGAAAACGGCTGAATTATCATAAATATTGGTTGAAAGTAGCGATATTTGTGTAGTCCCCCTCAAATTCTCAAATTCTATGTTGTGTGAAGAGTGCATTTGGTGACACCAATACCGAAGCTTGTGATGTGCGTCATTCGCCCAAAATCGGCTGAAACAGTTTATCGCCGTATTTACCATTTGCTTCTCTATGTAAATCAGCAAAAAAAATACGCACATTTCATTTGTACATTCGATTGAACGGTTCTGTTGTTGTGTTTTGTTGCTCCACAAAGTGGTCATAGATCTCAAAGTATCGTGTTATTTACATTTTATTAAGGCGATTTTCATTGTTTTGTGGATGCATTCAGAATTAATGCGGGTTGATACATTGCGTGGTTCCTCTTCAACGTAATTCATGAATAAATTTACTGAAGTGTTCAAAGTGGGTCTTTTAAGTGTTTTTTTCTGCCATTTTTTTTTCTTCTTTGCGCGGCTTTCGCAAGAATGCAACGGCCGAGCTGAGCGACATGAATTGAATAAAGTGAAAAACACAGTGTTCTTTTTGAAAATGTTCAAATCATTGAAGAAAACTATTTCTGAATAAGTTTGAATTAGAAATCGCCGTTAATCAAAGAGAGAAAACTACGGAATCGTTGCGATTAATTTCAAAATGCAGAGTTCAATTTATCATTGAAAGAAAAAGAGGTTTTTTCGTCGGTACAGTATCAATTTTTCAATCGTGATGACTCGAAAGAGCCAAAAATTTCAAACATATTCTGAACTTACCGGATATTCATCGTAGCTCACATTGATTCTGTCCATGCTGCTTTCTGAATTTTCCGAATTGAAATCGGGCGATGCACTTCGTTTCAATGATGCGCTTTCACTACAACTTATAAACACAACCATCCAAATGCTCACACATAAAATCCAATTGGCTGATGCGAATTTAACAACACCGATACATTTTCTCAACGAGTCCATATTTCGAATGGATTGCTTCATTTTATCTCATCAATTGAATCTCCGAAAATTATTGTTAGAAATGATATTAATTTAAAATTTCGTCAATATCCCTGTATAAAATGATTTATTATTTCTTTCAATCACATTCACTTGCACAATTTATAAAAACGGATTGTTTTTCATTCAATTCCAAGATTTAAAGAACAGCACCCAGTGATTGCGGAAAACTTTCAAAACTTTTTCATAAGCAGAAAATATTTTAGCGTAGTGTGAACGCTTAAACTAAACCGTTCCAATGGCTGCGACTGCTGAAAAATATCTAAAGCCTTTCGAAGAGCTTTGACGCGCTTTTATAGTCAATTCGCAAGTGAGGCTCGTTCTTGAGCATAATGGATAATATGCGAATGTCTGTGAAGTTGCAAACGAAAATGACTGGAAAGAATGTGGGCTCTATCCAAGTGCGTAGACGATTCTTGCTGCGTACAAAAAAGAGAGTAAAGAATCAGTCTTTGGCATTATTGAAGTGGCACTTTATAATGATGTGGTGTTTGTAATAGCCCGACACGTTGCTTATAATATTCAATGCTTTTTTTCTGCAGCAAATTCTTGATTCACTCGATGCAATCACATCGAACTCGAGGAGCGCATTGAACTATCATAAACCAATACAAGTGGTTGCAACTATTTATTGTTATTCATTTTCATTGTACAAACAATTTGAAATATTGAATGCTGTTCAATGGAAACAGCATGTTCAATCATTTTTAATCACAAATATCAAAGATGGTCCGAGCAATTATCGAGCTAAATAGCCATCTTTTCCGGTTTGATACTTGCTTATTTCTATTCAAAGTCGATTTTTGGTCAATCAGTACAAGCTAAAACGGATTGATTCATTCAATCACTTACTAGCGCACGTTTTACGATTTCGAGACTTAAGGGGAGACATTGCTCTCGGTCAACTGCGGCGCTGAACACAAAATTGCTTTTAAAGTAAAACTGTTTGTGGTTGTTTCGATTGGCACTACATCAATATTATAATTATGTCATAGTGTCGAACTAACTATAATCCGTCAACGACCGTTGAGTGTGAGGGAGAGAGAGAGACCATCAGTCGGTGAACTAGTGCGATTGATTAATTTTCCACTTTTACTAGCAATGAAATAGTTGAAAAGTGTTATTATTTTCATAGGCTAAACCGAAAATACAATAACAATGCCATCGAATGCACCCAATTTAATGAGGCTATAATCCAATAAACATCTAATTTTTCTTCTATTAGGCTGTATTGCTGCTGTTTGAGAGCATAATTGTTGCCATATCATAAATTGTATCAATACAGAATATCGTGTACACAAAGAGTGGATAAAGTGTCTTTGCTTGAATTTCTCCCCGATGGCCAAAGCAGATTTAGTGAAGCTCGAACTGTGTTTATTGAGCACTGCTTAATGTTTTAATCACTCTCCACATCATAGCTCTTAAGTTGAGTGTTAATTGCACAATTTAATGTGTTTGGAGCGAAAAAGTCTCACTTTGCATCCCATTAAAATCGGATATTAGAGATTTCACTTAATCACAACTGGATGGACGATCGGTAATATTTCGGTCAAACATGAATTATTACTATATTCGTCTTGATACATTTTTCCCATATACCAGCACATAATTGACCACTTTTACTAAACAAAAATTATCTGATTTTATGGGAAATATCATAAAATGAATAAAAATGGCTTGAATCGTTTAAGCATCGCACATTTAGGTGATTCTTCCTTGAACAGCCAACAGATGGCGTTGCCCGCGTTACAATTTGTCAGTAGTAGAATCGCAGTACTTACGAAACAATTGGTGTGTGAAGGAGCCTATTCGTGATATGCCAAATGACAAATGTGTCGCCATATTTACTGAAAGGAATAGAAGAGAAAAAAGAATAAGAAGAAACAGTGCTGGTGTGGAAATTTTACACTCTATCTCTGTGTGTGCTAGTTGTTTTCGAAATAATCAATTTTCGACCAATATTTGCGTATAAATTTGCAACAAAGACACACGGGCAGCTATCCAGTAGCCATTCAAGTGATTGTATAATATTTTCTAAGTTTCAATTAATCCAATATAAATATGGGACGTAAGAAGAAGAAGGCCTCGAAACCATGGTGCTGGTACGTGTGCTGTATAAATATTGATTTATTTCACATGCTCATACTTTATTCCAAGAAAATTTAACGTTGAAATATGCATTACCACCAATTGCGTAGTATACTGAATCGCATTTCTTTCGTCACAATAGGTATTGCAATCGTGAATTTGACGATGAAAAAATTTTGGTGCAACATCAAAAAGCGAAACACTTCAAGTGCCACATTTGTCATAAGAAGTTATATACGGGACCAGGTTCGTATACGATTTTCTTCTATTCGAGTCGTTTAGAAACGATTACCATTGTTCTGTTGGAATAATCACATTTTAATTGGCCCATTTTTCATTCATTTAACTACAAATTTATAGGTCTATCGATTCATTGTATGCAAGTACACAAAGAAACCATTGACAAAGTTCCGAACTCAATACCAAACCGATCGAATATTGAAATCGAAATTTTCGGAATGGATGGCATACCGCCAGAGGATTTGAAAGAACATGAACGCCAAAAAACGGGCAACACAAAATCGGAATCGGACGATGATGAACCATCAAACAAACGCACAAAGAATGACGGTATGTTCATTGCGAATGGGGTATTTGCCATCGGGCGATTGACGATTTCATAAATTGATTTTCATTTTTCTTTGCGTTTGTGTTGCTTCCATGTACAGCCAGCTTAATGCAGCAGCCAAACATGATGATGCCCAATATGATGCCACCGCATATGATGGCCCAATTTGGTATGGGAATGCCAATGATGCCACAACCATTTATACCAATGATGCCACATCAAATGATGCAGCCGCGGCCATTATTCCCGGCCGCTGCTGCCACATCATCCGTTGGTCAACATCAAATGCCACCGAAGCCAACATTTCCGGCTTATAGGTAAATTTTGTGCTAATTTCCAGCCCGAAATATTCAAAAATTTTATATTTTCTTAAATTTTAATTGCAGTAGTGCGACGATAAGTGCACCGCCAACTACGAACAATGCAGCAGGCAGTGGTTCAGTTACGGCATCGACTCAGGAGCAAAGTAAACCGCCACCGGTTCTGACTGCGCCTCCAGCAACTGGAATTACCTCGAAAATATTACATCCACCGGAGGATTTGAGCTTGGAAGAGATTCGTGGTCGAAAACCAAAGTATCTGAAACAAATCACAACGGCTCGAGCAAATGCAATCAGTTATGCTTCATCGAACTCTCAACAGCAGCAAAGGCATCACCATCACCAACAACAGCAAAGGCATCATCATCAACAACAACAACAACAACAACAACAACAACAACAACAACAACAACAACAACAACAACAACA